TGAGTCATTGTTACAGTGAGTCAGTGTTACAGTAAGTCATTGTTACAATGAGTCCATGTAAGTATTGTGAATCGGTAAGAGCTTTTTCTTTTGTTACTCATTTACAGACATGATGCAAAGGCACTTTAAGCCTAAAGTGTATCTTAAAGAGATGGCAGGTAAGGATTTGCTTTAAGTGTAAACTACTGTAAATTGTCCTGATGCTGCTCAATAATCCAGGTAGAAAAATCCAAAAAAGTTCAATCTGGTCCTCTGGACATTGAAAATAAACAAAAAACAAAACAAAGCAAAAAAAATATAGAAACGTTTTGTCTCTCATCCGAGAGACTACCTCAGTCTGAGGTGCTGTATTCAGCTCAGTCTCTTAAATAGCACCTTCTCAGAGTGGATCAGCCAGTTTGCTGCTGACAACCAGAACCAGCTGATCACATGCTCAAGAAGGACCATCAGCCTAACAATGGATCATTAGCACCTGATGGCTGTTTACTGTTCACAGAGGGCTGAGTGATACTAGCAATCACAGCATTGTAAGAGGGGGACAGTTGAACCCGGAGGCTCCGCCCCTGTTTAATGATGGACGGTTTATTTTCACACATTTACTGTAAATTGTCTACAGAAATTTCTGAGTAGAATCCCAGAAAAAAAAAAAAACTTAAATAAAACCGGCAACTGCAGAATAAACTTTCTCTCTTATGTTGGTTTGATTCTTTTAAAGTTTGTTTCTCCTGGTAAACATTTAAACTGTTGTCTACTTTTATTGTCTGATCAAGTAAAACAGGAAGTAAAGCTGATGAGATCTGCACACAGGATAAATCAGCCCTGAGGATTCTGGGAAAAGGCCGTCCTCTCCCAGCATGCTCTGTGCTTCCACGCAGCTCCGCTCCTCAAAATGATTTAGCAGCTTCAGCGGCATCGATCGGCTGCACTGCAGAGAAAATACCAAAGGAGGAAGAAATATTACCCATCATCCCCCGGGAGCGGGCTGGCGGGGCCATGACTCAGGGCAGGATTCTGGTCTGGTTCTAGTTACGGTTCTGGTCATGTGAGCTGCAGATGCCTGCTTCAGAATCACGTTTCACACTTTTTTTTGTTCACATCAGCACCAACAGGGTCTGCTTTATTCCCCCCCCCACCCCACTCCACCCCCAGGACAGACTGGAGCATTCATCAGGATGCTTCAGCAGCTTAAAACAAAGAGCATCAGGCTGAAACCACAGCAACCACAGGGGTCCACAGGGGGAGGAGGTGGGGTCAGGGGGCTGCTGATGGCGGCGTGCTGGAGGGCACTTTCACACAGTCCCCCTCCCTACCAGCCCCCCACCCCCTCATTCATCAGTCACCAGGTTAATTAAATATGCTAATGAGGCGTGGGAGCAGACTGGACTGTCTGGCTGCACGTGCGCGCACACACACACACACACACACACACACACACACACATTAAAACGAGTCAGTTAGAAACATTTAACACAATTAAAATGTTTGTTTTTATACAGACGTAAAGAAACGTGAAATTAAATCAACATGTTGGTTTTTAACTTCATCTTACCAGGACTCAAATCTATAAGCTACAGCAGAAACAACAAACCTACAAACAAACAAACAAACAAACAAACAAACCTACAAACAAACAAACAATATAAACCCTGAATTCACCTGCATAACTTCAGGGAACTCCAACTCCCATAATGCCAAGGGTCAGTGTTACTGCTTCCATATGTGACGATCAGTTATTGATTAGTGACAGTTTATTGATTAGTGACAGTTCAAACAACCTGATGATAGTGTCAGTGGGCGGAGTCAGCAGCTTCTTCTTACGGCTTTTCCCTCTTCAGGGGTCTCCACAGCGAGTCCTCCTCCACCTCACTCTGTCCTCTGTCCTCACTCTGTCCTCACTCTGTCTTCTGTCCTCACTCTGTCCTCTGTGTCCTCTGTCCTCACTCTGTCCTCTGTCCTCACTCCAACTCCCTCCATGTCCTCTCTAACTGCATCCATATGTCTCTTCTTTGTCTTTTTCCTGCAGCTGCATTTCTAACAACCTTCTACCAATATACCCACTGTCCCTCCTCTGGACATGTCCAAACCACTGTCCCTCCTCTGGACATGTCCAAACCACTGTCCCTCCTCTGGACATGTCCAAACCACTGTCCCTCCTCTGGACATGTCCAAACCATCTCAGTGTGTCCTCTCTAACTTTATCTCCCAGGTGTTCAACCTGTGCTGTACCTCTGATGATCTCATTCCTGATCTTCTCCATCCTTGTCTCTCCTAAGAAGAACCTCAACATCTTCATTTCTGACACTTCCAGTTCTGTCTCCTGTCTTTTTGTCCATGTCTCTGTCTCCAGACCAGACAACATAGCTGGTCTCACCACTGTCTTGTAAACTTTTCCTTTGATCTTTGCTGACACCCTTTTTGTCTCAAATCACTCCTGAAACTTTTCTCCATCACTCCATCCTGCCTGGACTCTCTTCTTCACCTCTTCACCACACTCCCCATGTTCCTGGACAGTGGACCCCAAGTCCTTGAAGTCAGCAGCTCACACACCACAACCCCCCCCCCCCCCACTTACACACATCTCTTTGTGCTTCCTCTTGTTCCTTTCCTTCCTCTTCATCAAGTTTCCTTCAGATCTTCTCTCCATCCCTTCCTTCCTTCTTTTGGTCCTTGTTTCCTCTCCCTGACCCCCACCCCACCCCCCACCGTCGTCCAATCAGATTTCAGATGTGGAGAGTCACACGGTCATACCAGAACGAAAGGATGAATCTGATTGGCTGTTTTCTGTTTCAGAAACTTTATCATTATTCCTGTTTCTCTGCAACTCTTTTCCTTTCTCCCTGACCCGAATGGACTTCTGGTTCTGAT